AAAGGGCAGGAAAGATGGGTAAACTTTTTCTTGCCCCTTACCGTCATCCTCCTTGCTGTGCGTGTTGTGGGAACTATGACGCATCCTCTCTCCTCGGCTTGGTGGGCTTAGGTCAGATGCTGCTCCCAAATCAGCTGTTAGCCATGTGGGCTCGCTCATCTCTGCCTCCTCCTCCTCACTGCTCAGTGAACTGTCATCCTGAGCAGAAGAGAAGAAACACATCACATGTTTATAAATCTGAACTTGTTCTTTACATTTACATCCAACTATTCCAGTAATCTAACTGCATTAGTGTAGGGTTACAACTATAGCTCCAGACACCATCAGGATTACACAGTCAAATAAGACCCATAGTTTTACAGTATACTGTATATTTCATGCATTTAGCTGGCCATTTGATCCACAGAGAAATTCTGTGAGTGTTACAGTCAAAGGGCCTGGATCACCAAATCAACAATTATCTCCAATATTAATTAGATAATGTGGTGAGTTACTTCAGTCAGAAGTTAAAAAGAGGTTAGGAGACAAAAGAGTAAATCTGAGGAATGTTTAGAGTATTTACTGTACGCCACTTATTTAATCTACAATACTTATTGCCAGAGCAAAACATCATATCTAAGCAGAGCTTTTGTCCTTGTAGATGGACACAAATTAAAGGTAGGATTGGCAATTTCTTCCAGAAGCATTTTTTTTACCTTTCTTGAATTTCTCTTTTCACTGACAACATACAGAAAAAATTTTATCACCTCTGGAAGCAACAGGGCTGAAAAACGCCTGACCAATAATGTACACGTCCCAAGCAAAACCACTGGACCGCCTGACTACCTGTGAACCTAACTTCCTACTTGTGCGCACTCTGCCCGCGCACTCAATACACAAGCCAAGAGTATCCCACAAGGTGATGCAGTTACAGGCAAACATGTACCGCTCTGTTTTACAGCTAAAGCTAGCGAGCTATGGCAGAGAAGGTACCCACAGCAGCTTTGGTTCACAAACAGACAGTTGTTACAGGCCAGACCTTCCCCTTTAGGACATGTAGCCTTACAGGTAATGTTGTAGTTATTGCCAGAAGCTGCTCCCTGCATACAGTGTGAGCAGTATGAGAACGAGAAGACCACCACATGAAACAGACTCCTTTTGCAGAGGTGTCAAAAATGACTATACAGACAGTGACTGTAGCAGCAATATGGGGCAGTAGATCCTCTCCGTCAAGCAACATTATTACGGTAAAAAAAAAAAATCTGAAATGGAAAAACACTTTGTTTAAGTCAACATGACAAGAACAACAAAGAACTTCTAGAAAGGGGGTGGGGGAGAACTAAGCCAACTGTCTTTTCAAAGAGAAGCTACATTTTGCCTGGAAATTTGCGTGCTGCATAAATCCACCCACACTCTGATTAGCCATCTTCTCATGAATGAAACTGTGTTTACCCACTGTTTTAAGCTATTTTTAATTTCTTTATTTACTGGAGAAGCACAGGAGCAGCCAGGACAGCTGCTCCACCAGTTTAACCCAAACATCAAGAGGCAACATGAGGCAGAGAGACGGCAGGCAGACAAATCAAACAACATGCCAACTGCTGCTCAGTGTGTAGCACCTGCAGGCCTCGCTGGTAGCAAGAACATCACACTGAGATGGTTTCCTCTAAGCTCTGACTTCTTCTTCCATCTCACAGACATCCTCTGTTAAAGAGCCCATGACATGCTTTTCCTTGTTTTCTGACTTATCTACAGTGCTACAATGGTGAATTAGCATCTCAGGCATGACCTAAAGCTCAAAAAATTAGGTGTACCTACAGTATGTTCTACTACTTCTATGCAGAAGAAACTTGGTTTATACACATCTTGCAAACTCTCACTCGCCAGACATTTTTTCTAATGAATGAACGTCTTACGTGATAGTTAAAAAATTTCCTTGAATGGTCATATTCTCCAGGAGTGTTCATGCGAGCTTGCCGGACATCGACAGGTGCCATTGTAAAGCGAAATTCTTCAACTGCGCCCGGTTTTGTGGTTACAATTTACCTCCTGCTGCTGCACTGTGATCAGAGGATGTGGAGAAAAATACTGTCAGGTCCACTCGGTTTTTGTATTATACGTCTCTTGATTTCCACGCTGGCAGTTCCTGTGCTGTGGTTTTCTTTTGTACGTTGTTTCCATGTGTTTAGGCATGCGTAATTTGATTTCAACGCTGACAGTTCCTGTGCTGTTGATTTCTTTTTTCGTTCGCTACTCTGCTTCCCTGACGGCGTTTGCTAATCCTCCTGGTAGTTCTGTCTACTCACCTGTCCGTCCTAGATCCTCCTATTCTCCTGGTTCCTGCGTTAGTTTGTCCACTCACCTGTGCGTCCTGGTCTCCTCAGCCTATCTTGTTTTTGTACTGTCCAGCCTGATTATGCCACAGACATTGACTCTGTTACCTTGTTTGTGTTTTTTCCAATAAACCACCTTTTTTTCACCAGCACCTGGGTCTTGCACACTGAGTCCTACCCCAGTTCTCCCTCACCCTCCTGGTGAGGGGGACGCAACCATAACAAATACAAGACCTGAGGTTACTGCATGTCTGGGAATGTTCCTGCACAGGGACTCGCTCTTTTACCTGACCGGTTCTAACCTACGTAGGTTGTACAAGCAGCCAGCCAGTGAAGCCCCCCACAGCGGTGAATGATCAGCTCATCAACGCTGGGTTCCCCTGGAACACAGTACCTGTTTGTTTTGACTGCGTGAGGCCAGTGTGTCTGCCGCATGTGATGTAGGTTAATGATGATTCTAACAATCAATGGTGTTATTGTCGGTGCTGTTGCCTGTTGAATTCATTTCACTACTTTGGGACTATATATGGTCATGTCTGGGAAAACACAGCGACCACTGGTTGTATTTACCAACCTTGGAGCTACTTGAAAGGGAGTGATGTTTCCACTACACGGTGGGGCATAATGTTAGGTTAAAAAAAAAAAAAAGCCTGTTAATGCCTTGTTTCTGTAATGTTAGAGAGAATTGTTGTAAAGCTGGAGAAGTTACTATGTCTACATTATGCCAGTTAAAATATGGGGTTTCTCAATTACCTGCTTGTTTAGAGTGTTACATCGGTACATATACTGTTGTTTACTTATCTATGGAGGAGAAATTCAAATTAATTAATGCTGTTGCGGATCATTGTGCTGTCCACTTGCAACACAACACCAGCAACAGGAGTTGTGCATGTTTACAAACTGTCCTCTTGTTTTTAGGAATAGGCTCTCAGGTTCTATTATTCTGAAATAATTACAGATTATTTGCAGTTATGAGAGGTGCAAAGTTAATCTAGAGGTGCCCAAGATTAAACATTAAATGGCTGGAAATGAGCATGCCATGGGCACTTTAAACCAAAATGTTGGAAATGAAAAATGCAACACTTCCTGTGAGAAAGAAGATGAGGAGCCACCAAAATCGGTGTATTCAATCAAAAAAGATGCAAAAAGGGCTGACTATTTCCTATACTGGCGCTGAACAAAAAATCATACTAAACGGACTCAGTCCCTTATCAGATATGGGCCGGTCATAAACAAAATTATACATATACACACACACACACACACACACACACACACACACACACCTGTAAACAATGAAAAGATTAATGAACAAGCAAAAAAATCTCAGTGACACTGGAAATATGACGCACCAAACTGGTCTTATCAATACTACACATGGTCACTGGTGCTCATCACCTGCTAATACCATCCCTACAGTGAAACAAGGTGGTGGCAGCATCATGCTATGGAGGTGCTTCTCACCAGCAGGGGCAAGGGGACTGGTCAGAATCACCTGAAGAACACAGCCAAGACAACACCAGAGTCTCTGACTGTCCTTGAGGGGTCCAGCCAAAGCCCAGACTTAACCCCCATGAGAACATCTGTGGAGAGACCTGCCAATGGAAGTTCACAGACACTTCCCATCCAATCTGATGGAGCATGAGAGGATCTGACAGGAGGAATGGGACATAAAACAGCTGTAGCTCCTGAACCTCAGTGTCTGAGTGTGTGAATAAATAAGACCTTGGCAGAAAAGAAACCCGACAAAGTTTTGTGTAAAAGTGTCAGAAACAGTTTAGGCGATAAAAAACAGAGCAGCAGGCCTGTGAATTCAGGAAAATAACACACACACACACACACATGCTGTGTTTTCATTCCTTGTGAGGACTTTACATTGACTTACATTCATTTCCTGTAGACTTATCCCAACCTTAACCATAACCACTACTTGCCTAATTCCTAACACCTGACCCTAATACCTAACCCTAAACCATGTTGCCACCCTAAAATTCAGTGATTTCCTTGTGGGGACTAGCTTTGGGTCTCCACAAGGATGGCCGAGTCTTCACAGTGTGAGTCTGTTAACAGGTTTCAGTCCTCATGATGCAAGTAATACAAAAAATTATATACTGTATTATAGTCTGTATAATACAGACCACATGCAGGTACTGTAATGCAGTACCTGCATGTGGCTTTTTTATTCCCGGATAAATGACACTGTGAAGTTGTAAGCAAAATACGAACAAATAACTGCTTCAATTTGGTAAGGATATTACTCACAGCTCTCCACAGCTGGACCAGGCAGCTCTCCACACTGGACAACTGGAGTCTCCAAATAGACACATGGTGACCAAATGATATTTTGAGTCAGTAATGACTTTTTTCTTTACATTTTGATATATTTCACCAGTTTGAGCTAAATTAGTCATATATTTCAACTTTTAGTTTATGGTTTTACTGTACCTCCGTGTGCGTGACTGTGTAATAACCACTAATTAACATAGATATGTACATTTAACTACAAGTGGAGAAGAGATCCGAGAACTTCTTCCACCACTGGTTAAATGCTAATCCCCCCAACACACACACACGCACACACACACACACACACACACACACACACACACACACACACACACACACCAAGCATCTCACAGAGTGACCCAGGGAGGATAAAAGCTAGGTTTAGTACAGCTCAGAGCTCCAAAGCCTATATAAAATTGGCAAGATGGCCAAGCAGTTACACATGGTGAAGCATGGCAATACTGCCCCATCTGATGGGTCGATTAGCATGTCTGACAGCTCTGTGGGAAAGCTCAGAATCTCGGCTTTATGCTGGGTGAGACACACTTTACTGAAACCCTACAAACTCGTGCAGTCAGACACGGTGTGATGAAATATACA